AAGTCACCCTTTGCATTTTATGATGTATTGTGGTAGACATAATTGTAAGTGAAGAGGGTTGTTCTTCATGTGTCTAGGAGTCTTAGGATTCCTTGTGTGCCAAGCAATTGTATGTAGTATAATTACTCTGGTTACTGTGTATGAACTGTTAAGTTCATTGTCTCACTCAAAGCTTTTAAGCAAGAGTGTAGTGTCCTTGGTTGAAGCTGTTAAGCAAAACCAAGTACTGTGACTTTGAAGTGTCTCTTCTAAAGTCTGTCATTCTGTATTGAATTATCTATCACTATTGTGTGATTGAGGGGGAGTGAGTGGGTATACTCAGGTACTAGAATGTCTCTAGGCTGAAATTGCATTGGGTAGAGATTAAGTGAGGGGTGTAAACTGGAGGTTTAACTCTAAATTAATTCTGCTAATAGTGGATTTTCTTCCTGGCTTGGTAGCCCCCAGATGTAGGTGATGTTGCACCGAATTGGGTTAACAATTCATTGTGTGATTTATCTTTCTACATTTACAATTCTGCACAATTTAAATGGTTAGATAAATAGGTCTGTCATCCTGCTGATGTTACAACAGACATCATGACATTGGTCATGACATTGGAACAATTTAAAGAAATTTAAATTGTTCATGATCTGTCCTCGTCCTTGTTGAGCAGAGATCAATGTTCTTGTGACATATGAGATCTGCATACCAGAATTTCAGGAAATCTAAGTGTCGAGTATGTTGTACTGCACAAAATTAGAGCTACAAATTAGGTGCCTACAAATCAATCATCTATCATTGCTGCTGACTTGGGTAGATTTATCTATATCATTGGTACAAAAACACCATTTGATTTTGGTTCTTATGTGTTTGATCAAACAATAAAGCATGCAGGCACTTTTGTTGTCAAACTTCCAATTGCCTTTCATTCTCTATTCTAGGGAATTATCTTAAGTCAGCATCCTGGTATTCTAATAATTGTTGATACAAAATGTAAAAGGGAAGTGCCCTTGTCATTACACCACAAAGTGTTTAAAGAGACACATGTCCCAGACATTGTCAAGACATATGACAATAGAGCTGCTACTGGAATGACCAGAACAAGTGTACTGGCCGAGTTAAAGGGAACCTGCAAAGCATCGAAAGTAACCATAAAAAGTTGTACTACTAGAAAAATCAAACTGGAAGGACTCATTAAAGCTCTGTCTGAAGAAGTCACAGACGATAACTTGGTTACAACAGAGAAAGAAGAGGGAAACAATCAAGACCAAGATCATAGTAGTGGCGATGAGAGCTCTGAAGATTAGATATAATTGAAGTTTTTGTCTGTTTTTCTGTTGTAGTGTTTTGGAAATGTGCCCCTGTGTTTTTTGCTACTATATTGCAATTTGTGTTGTTTGGATGTTTGTTTTGTTAGAGATTATGTGTGCTTCCATCTGTTTCTTTTGTGTTTCCATTACATATATTTGTGTTTCCATACGTTTAATGCGTTGTGCATTTTGTTTGTGTGCTTCCATATATGTGTGTTTCCATTTATTTTTATGTACATTTACTTTGTTTTCTTTTTGTCAATTTTTAGCTAAAAATGGGGAGTAAAGTGTTAGTTTATTTGTTGTTTCTGATGTTGGATCAGATGTCATGGCTTCATGTTATGTGTTTTACTACTACTTAGGAAGAGTAGCTTTTTCTTTGTTGTTGCTTGATGTATGCAACATTTAGGGGGAGCATGATAATCTGTTGTGTGTTTGTGCTGAAGATCCACTACTTTAGTGTGAAATAATAGAATGCTTGATTCTTGTGTTTGGTGTTTTTGAAGTATGGTTCTATTGTATGAACATGCATGAGTTCATGTTCATGTTTTTTTCTTCTTCTGGTGATTTGGGTTTTCTCCTTCAGGGGGTACTAGTTATGTGTGACAAGGAGAGTTGTATACTTGTCTGATCTGTTGTTGCAGTTTGTATAAAGCTTACACGTTCTCATGTAGCTTGTGTTGTTTTGTGATGTCAGACCTGATGTCTTGATATTGTGTTGTCATGTGTACCCTATTGGTTTGGCAGCATTGTGCTTGGGTTTCTTTGTTTCTGTTTTGATTTCGCTGTGTATGCCTCTGATGTGTGTTAAGGTTGTTTTAGCCAAAATTTTCCAAAGGGGGAGATTGTAAGTTCTATGGCTTTTGGATTGGGTACATTTTGGTAAAACAACATGCTGTTAGCAAGATATTCTGCCATGACAATCAGACATCATGTTTTGCATGATATTGTGACATGTTCTAGGACATGTTATACCAGAAAGTTAGGGCATGACTATTTTAGTATTTTTAGTGTGATTTTTTAGTGTGTTCTGATTCACACATGTGCGTTATTCATGGGAGTATATTGTGGGAATTTATGTTATGACAGATTCTGTTAGTTTTCATAAAAAGGTTCCTTGAGCCTTTTTAGGAAAGTTTATATTGTGTTCCTATTATTGGGCAAGATGATTTGCAGTGAGTTAAAACAAATTATTGCTATTTGTTCGCTTCAAGAGCCCAAGTCCATTAGGTCTGAAGGCTATTTAAAGTGAATATCTAACCCAATTGAGAAAGAGAACAACACGTGAAGAATTTGAGGAATAAGGATTAGTCGTGTTTTGGTTGGTCTTTAGGGATTAACGTGTGTTAATTGTATGTCACTCATGTATCTTCTGATGCATTGAGGTTGACTGATTGTTAATTTTTAATTGTCCACTCTAAAGCTTTTAAGTAAGAGTGTATTGTTCTTGGTTGAAACTTATAAGAAAAATCAAATATTGTCTTGAAAATGTGTTACTTCTATTTTGTGTGATTATTGAATTGTCACTGGGATTGTGACTGATTAGGAAGTGAGAGATGGATATCATATCTAGAGGGTGTCTAGGTAGAAGTTGCACAAGGTATGGATTATGCGAGAAGTTGTAAACGGGGGAGTTTAGCTTTAAACTAATACTATTATCGTGGATTTCCTTCCTGGCTTGGTATCCCCAAGATGTAGGTGAGTTGCACCGAACTAGGTTAACAATTACTAGTGTTATTTTACATTTTTGTCATTTAAGTCTCTGTGTTTATTTTTGTGATCAAACTGTGTTAATCCCAGTGTTGTGACAACTGTCTCGACATCTGGTATCTGCATACCAGAATTTCACATTGTGATAATCAAAGTGCAATACACTTGACCGTAAATCAAGTCTATTATGAGAGAAATAAACATACAGACATCAAGATACATTTTGTTAGAGAAATCACCTCAGAAGGAGTTGTAACTATTTAGAAAGTTGCTATTAAAGATAACCCACAAGATCATTAAAGTTTTATCAAGTAGCAAGTTCTATTAGTGTTTGGACTTGATACAATTTAAGTGATCCTAAGTCCACAATGTGACAAAATCAACAAGTCTCTATTGACCTTGAAAGTCATATTTATTAAATTAAGGTGGAGAGTTGTAGGGATTGGTCTAGTTAACTATGGTGACGATCATTTTTTATTTTTAATTACTTAATTGTTTGTTATTCTTCATAAGGTTACATTAAGTCTAATTAGCTATAAAAAAACATATACTTTGTTTAAGTTCTTTACTATCAATTTCACATATTATATTAGTTTTGTAATTTTGTAAACAAAATTATATATAGTGTTTCAACAATGTAATGTGAAATCAATATTCATTAAAAAAAAAAAAATTGGATATTTCATTTAAATTTCTCTTTTTTTCTCTTTCTTTCTTTAAGTATTTATTGTTAAAGTAATATTGTATTGATCTTAAAGTGTTTAATCAATTGTACTCTTATCAAAGATTCATCACTGAAAATCACACTAAAACCTTCTCGTTGAAAATTTACAATAATATTACTTATTAATATGTCTGACAAAAGTTATGACAGCCAATTAAATAGTTTTAATAAAAAATTATCTTGTTAAACAGTGTAAACAAATTTACAACAATTAAGATAAAGATAAAAAATAAATATATAATAAATTTGTTTATTCAGTTCGATCAAACTAATATAATTAAAAAAAATAGAATAACTCTCTATTTCATTATACTTTTAAAAAACTTGATGTTTTTAACTCATTTTTTAATTTCATATTTAAAGCAATCAAAGTTAATCATTAAAAAATATGAACTATTTTATTTAAGATTATTAGTTATATGTATAAAATAAACTCTAGATTCTCAATTGTTTCACAAAGTCACCATCCAAACTCATTTAATCAACTATTTGAAAATTTCAAATTCAAAACACAATAATCAAATTAAAAGAAAAAGAAACATCTCAAATCCATATCTATTCATTATGATTTAATCATTTTTCTTCACTTTTTATGAACATCTAAGTCCACCATTCCCCCCTTTTCTGGATATAGGACTCCCACATTAATTTCCCCCCTTTTTCTCCCAAGTATTGTAATTGTGTAATTTCAATACACACATAATAATATTAATGAAGAAGATCAAAATGTACAAGGTTGGAAACATGTAATAATGACTCATAGCAAATATTGTCCCATGCCCTAATTTAAAAACACTTTCTTTAAGTGAAGTAACTCTAAAAAGAAGTTGATAAAAGCTGCCACCTCCACTACCATATTTCAAGCAAATATAAGAGTAAATTAAACCAACATCAAATACTTTATAACTTGCACATTTTTTTCTGATCAAAATAATAATAAAATAAAAGTGGGTGCATGCATCCCCTTAAAAAGATATACATATATTCAAATATATCTACTAACAAGAACAAAAGGTGTTTTAGGTAGCTAGCACCATCTGCTAAATTCAGCCATAAAACAAATTACAATTAAAACTATAATCTAATGTCAAATGCTGCTGAATTTAACACTTGTTCCTGCCCCTCATCAACCTAATTTGTAGCTATTAAAATCTTCATTAAACAACCTATCTTTAATCTCTATTTTTTTATTTATTTTCATTCCCTTCTTTTTTCTTCTTTTTGCTTACCAATTAATAATCATGTCTTCTTCCTCTTCTTTTAAAATCATTTCTCTATCTGCCAAAGAGTGTTCCTCCAAATGTAGGTGTCCAAAAATCAATACTAGTCTCATTAGTCATTGGAAATGTGCTTGAAATTGGCACCAAACAAAGCCCTTGACTCCTTAAATCTTGTTTTTTTCTTTCTAACTCCTTCACATTATCACAACCCTACATGTGCAAACATATATACATATTAATATTTTAAAAACAAATTTACGAACTCTGATCATTGTTATAAACAAAATTTTCATTTTCAAATTTATATATCTGAATTAAATTTATATCAGATACATTAATTATTTAATTAACTTAATTTTTTTTAAACTTATAATAGTGATTAGAATAAATAAACGATATAAATAATTTATTATGTATATAGTTAGTACCTGTTGGTGTTGAATAGGAGATCCATTTTTCATGTATGGAGTGCTCAAAACCTAAAATTAATATTAAAACAATATTAGTATTATGCTTATAAAACAAAGTTATTAACTATAACAAGTTTAATGGAAACAAAACATACATTGACTTGATCATGAAGAAACTTGATGTAATCAATGGCTTCATGAAGAACAGAAGCTGTATCCGTCTGTAAATTAACATCAAAATAATTAGTGAGTTTAATTAACTTAATTACCTTTCTTAAACATTATCTTAAGAAAAAGGTAAAGGTTTAAATTATATCACTTTCAAAGTAGCTGCTATATAGAAGAAAAAGTGAAAGAGAAATTCACCTTTCCGAAAGGTGAAACCAACTGCTGAAGAGCTGTGATACGGTCCCCTAGCTTCTCTTTCCTAACCTGCATGTCCACCATACATATACATACATATATAGTTACATACACATCAACTTTATCTAATCTATAGATTAAAGAGTAATTCTCAAGATTTAATAGATTAAGATATATAATTAAATGGTAAAGTACCTTAAAAGTTGGTAATGGTGATGGAGTCTCAATTCTTTGCCTCTTCATTGTAACTTCAGATGAAGTTTTTGCTTCTGGTGAATTTTCTCTCTTTAACTGCATAAGATCCATCTTTAACATGTTATTATATATCCTTAGATAAAAAAACCCTAATTATAGATTTTTTACATATTAACTATAATATGTAGAACTGCGGTAAAAAAACTAATCAACATGAAAGTAGTAATGCATAAAATACTTTTCACATCAGTTGAAATAAACTTTTTACATCGTCTGGCCTTTTGAAGTAACGTAAGGTATTATAATAAGTCTGTCACATTTCACATCAGATGACTCTGGTCAAGGTGAAAAACAGCTAAATTTCACATTTATTCGTATAAAAGAAAACTAATGGAGAATGCGTAAGTAAAGCCTAACTAACAGATCAATTTTAATATTACATATTTTTTAGGGTTTAATTCTGAGAGTGATTTCAATAACCGTGTATTTGAGTTTCTGGTAATTATTACTACTTTGTATATAGATAAAAAAAAAAGCATATATGATGATGAATAATTATATATACCTTGTTTAATAGAGTATTTGAGGAATTGAAATTGTTGTTTTGAAAATTATGAGATTGATGATATTGTGATTGTGATGAAGCCAAAACTCCTGCTCTAATATCATTGAGAGCCTCAGCTGAAGCATTCCAGAAAGGAGTATTGTTTGAAAAGTGCAATCCACTAAGCTGTTGCTTTGGCATTGAAGATGATGAATAGGCCATAGAAGAAGGGTTGGTAAAAAGTGAATTTTGTGGCTGTGGTTGAGAATCAAATAAACTTTGTATCAAACTTGAAGGGTAACAACCATATGAATCCACTGATCCAATTGGATATGATGATAAATTCAAACTTTGATGATCTATGCAAAATTCTTGTTCCATTCTAGATGAGAAATTCTTTGTGCTTTCTTCTTGAATCACACACTCAAAATTGTTCTCTGACCTTTTCAAAGAAAAAATAACAAGAAAAAAATTAAATTTCTTTTTTGGATCATAATATATATATAAATTATATTTCAAGAACTTACAATATTGAGTGATTCCAATTTGATGAATTTGGAGATGAGAGATCAAAGAACATGCTACTAGTACTACCGGTTCCGGTAACCGATATTTCCGGCGGCTTCGGAGAATCAAGAAAACTCAAAGAACAATCAGAAACATCAAAGTTATTATTAGTTTCTTTCAAACCCAAAAACTCATTTTGCCAGTTACTATAGCTTCCTGAACATGATGATGTTGATGATGATGATGAGTTTATCATAAGAGGAAAAACATTTCTTGTTGAATTATTAATATTCCACCATGTTTCACCACAAATTCCAGCTTGAAATTCTTCTCCCATGTCAAATTTTGTTCTTATAAACTTAACAAAAATATTTTTTATATATAACTCAAAAACTCAACTATGTTTATAAGCTGAATGAGATAATATTTATATAAGAAATGGTTGAAGGGTATGGACAGGAATTTGGTTGACATTTCAAGAGGATGATTTGACAAATGAGAGAAATTTGAATCAAATTCTAATTCTTTTTTTTATTATATTTTTTAATTAATATATTATTGTTTTAGTATATGTTCCTATGATTAATTTATGAATTGTTTTGGGTTTGTTTTCTCTTTGTCTTACTTTATTGAATAAATATAATAGTATATGAAGAAATGTAGTACATGCCGTGTGGACAATTTTGTTCCTTGTGTATAAAGTTTAGTGAGTATGATGATATTGGATTGACCATAATGGAGTGGTGTGGTCTTTTTATCTTCAATTAAATATTGAGCATATGGTTGAAATTAATCCCTTCTTTTCAAATTGGAGTTGAAAAATAAAATATAATTCAAAACTCACTTATGTGTTTTTATCAATAAAATAAGTCAATAAAGTAAAAATATATTCTCTTAAGTCAGCTATAAGTAAAAATATAATTCAAAACTCTCTTATGTGATTAAGATATAATTTGTGGACAATTTTATTTTGATTATTTTTTTTTTCTTATTAACATTTCATATGATAAAGTTAATATGTGATCCACAAATTTTTCTTTAAAAATGTATAGACGTGTTGGACAATTTTAATAATTCAAAAAGGTGTGCTTGATGATAAACTTGAGGACCATTTGATGGTCCAAATAATACAGTAATAATACCAGGTGTATAAACAAAATCAATATACTAGTAATGAAAAATATTAATATTTAAATTTTTAAGAAAAAAGTAGCCAAGTCTCAGAGAAAGCGCGTGTATGTCACGGGAGTTAGTGAAACTGAAACACAATGGACCAAATTCGTATGTTTTTTGTTTTGTCCCCAAAACTGCTCCTTAACAGTGATTAAGTATGGATTTAGGTAATCAAAGACTAATGTTAATGTTCAACTACTGCACAATACTTGGGTTTAATGTCAAATACTAATTAAATGTAGTAGTTTGAGATAAAACAAATTGAAACCTTGCGTAATTAAGTCAATGTCAACTCAAATATTTGGCATTGAGCTACCTTTTGTTTGGATTATATATTGTGATAATCTCATCATCTTGAATAAGGTTTATAATTTGGGTTGAGATTTTATGATTAGGTATTTAATAAATCTGATTAATTAATAAGTTATATGATATTTTTTTTCTAATGTAAAACAATCAAATAGCTTCCCTCAAGTAATATAATCTAATAGTCTAAAATTATTTAGACCTTCATTGTGCATGTTAAATCATTAAAAATATTGTCCATTGTATATCGTTTTCACATTCCTAATAGAGATCAAATCATAGTTTGGTACCAATGTTATTGCATCTTTCCAACATATTTTAACTACATTTGGATCCCTAAAGATAAAAGAAGATTTATATATTTTTGGACTATACATTTTAACTAAACCTCATTCCAAAGGTAATGACTTATAATTAGAGCCCTCTAACATAGTTTCTCCAAGAAAATATTGATAACATGACACATATTCCTAACACAAAGCTCAAATTTTTGTGTTATAATTAAACATATCATTAAGAAAAATAATTTTACCTCTAACGACAGAAAATCTATTATCCCAAGCCTAAAGCGACAAAAAATCTATTATCCCAAGCCTAAAATATTGTGCATCTGATTTGGATTGTCTAATTGAAATTACAAATAACTTTCTTAATGATATTATCCCTGCACATATTACTTATTGGACAACCCAAAAGCCTAAAATATAACTTTTCTCTCATTTCTATATTTTTTTAATAAAGAAAGAATTATATTACCAAAAAAAAGAGAGGAATATAAAACCGATCCAAGCATCCAATTGACTAAAAAGACCAAACGACAAAGGAAACAAAAAACACTCAAATTGTATTACAAAATCTAGCTAATTTATCATTAATCTCAGCTCTATGCATAACTCTGTCAATGATATCTTTGATTTTGAGACAATCTTCTTTCTTATTTTGAAAAATGATCAAGTTCCTGGCAGTCTAAATAGCATACACGATTTCAATAAAGACGATTTTTAAGAGTTTCTTCCCGCATCCCTCGCCACTAGTAATTTTACTAATATCCCCAAGTTCCATATCCTAACCTCTTGGAATATGAAAAACATTAAGCCAATTTAGGACTTGTTTCCAGATATTTTTTGTCACCTCACATTCAAAGAAGAGATGGTCACTGCTTTCTGGTAGTCTGCAATGCACACATTCATCATCACTGGTCGTTCCAAACTTGAGTAACTGATCCTTTGTGGGAAGCCTATCCTGACATGTCATCCAAATAGTGAACGTCACTCTTGATCTAGCAAGGTTACCGTAGAAGAGATTTCTCCAGCCCACTTTTGATTTTATCCTTGTAAACATCTGATACATACTCTTAGTCTCACACATGCCAGTCGATTTAAACATGTTTCAAGCCACAAAATTCATTATGATGTCTCTATGTTTAAACATAGCCTTAACAATCCAAGACCAAAGTTCTTTAGGAATGAACATTAAGGACACTTGCATAAATTGGATCACTAATGTGATCCCAAGATATAGGAGCTTTACGAGTAATGCAATCCTTACCAGACCAAAGGAAACTTATGCAAATGCTATCAATGTGAGAAATGATCCTTTTAGGCAATGGAAAAATCTGCATCCAATAGTTTGTAATAAAAAATATCACACTTTTCACAAGTTGAAGTTTGCTAGCATATGACAAAAATCTGGTACTCCAATGCCTAAGCCTTACTAGCATCCATTCAATCAGTGGTTGGCAGTCATTCACAATCAATTTTTTGCTAGCCAAGGGAACTCCAAGATACTTTAGAGGCAATGTCCCGACTACAAATCCAATTTCTGTTGGATATTCATCTTGGACTCATCATCAACCCTCCAAAGTGGATCTTACTCTTAGGAATGCTAATCGTCAGACCCATAGCCTAAAAAAACCCTCTCACTTTCTCCATGATCAATCACATAAATTCATTATCACCTCTCACAAAAAAAATATATATATCATCAGCAAAGCATAAATTAATAATTTTCAAACGATTGTATTTTAGATAAAAATTGAAGTTTAGATCCATTCCTAAGCCTTAAAGTACTCAATTGAAATACTCTATAATAAGAACAAAGCGAAGGAAATAGATGAAATTCCTTGTCTAAAACCGCTTCTAGTTTGAAGGATGTTAGAAGAAATACCATTAATAAAGAACCTATAAGATACAAATAATATATTTTTTATTTATGAGATAATTAATCAGCCACAAATTTTATAAAACATTTTAACTTCAATTTTAGCTATCTAATATCTATTAGATCTTTTATTTATCGCTATATGTTAATCCAATATAAATTGGTTTATCTATTATCTATATTTTTCTAGACCATTATATATAACAAATATATAGTGATTTCATATACTAATTATTGTAGATGAACTCCAATAATAAAATATTCATAAACAAATACTATCGATACTCTATTTTAGAAAAGTATATTTTTGGAAAAAGGAATGTTGATTTGGATCCAATAAAAGGAAGTTAGGTCCGATCCATAATACATTTAGGCTTTCTTTGAATTTGCAGTGAAATTGACTTAAAACACTTTATGAATATTAAATTAAGGTCAAAGTTTACTTTGAATTTGAAATTTAGTATATTTGATAGCCCCCTCCCATCCCCAGTGCAAAACAAATTTAGAATTTTATTAGCTATTTTTAATAAGCAAAATTTGGATTATAAGGAGTATAGAAAATACCCAACCCTTAATAAGAAAAAAAAAAGTTAAGGAAGCAAAAATAAGACCACAATTATAAATACTTGGAAGATAAACATCTAATCGGATCTGCCTTTTTAATCTTCCCACATCTAAGCAATAAGACTCTAAACTTAGCTTGTTACCAAGTCTAAGTTAAATTATTTATTCTTTCAACAAAAAAATTCACTATGTGAATATACTTTCTTAAAATAGAATATAATTCCTACGTTTTCAGCATAACCAATAAACGCGGTCTAGAAAAAATAAAAATAAAATTGTTGTTGAATTGCTGCAATTTCAAAATTATTGGTAAGAATGTAGTAGGTATCATTAGTGCGGGTAATAGTCTCATATTGGTTACAAATCACTATGCCAAAAAAGACTTTTAGCAGCGCTTTAAAGCGCTGCCAAAAGTGGCGCTGCTAAAGGTAAATGCAGCGTTTTTTTAATGGAAAAAGCGCTGCTAAAGGCTCCCTTCAATAACGCTTTTATAGCCCTTTAACAGCGCTTTTATAGCCCTTTAGCAGCGCTTTCATAAGCGCTGCATATTCCCCCCAACCATCCCCCCTTTAGCAGCGCTTTCACAAAGCGCTGTCTTAGAGCCCACCTTTAGCAGCGCTTTTACAAAGCGCTGCCATAGCCCCCCCCCCCCCCCCTTTAGCAGCACTTTTTAGAAGCGCTGTCTTAGCCCCCCCCCCCCCCCCCCTTCCAAACCTATAGCAGCGCTTTTGTAGCGCAATGTTTGTGACCTTTAGCAGCGCTTTTTTGTAAAAGCGCTGTCTAATGTCCCAGATTTTAATTTTTTTTTTTTTTAAATATTCCCCCTGTTTTGTATATTTACCAACAACCTGCTTATAATTCAGACATTTATTTCAACACTTTGGATATACAATTCAAAACTTTGGCCTTAAATATACAATTCAAAACTTTGGCCTTATATATACAATTCAAAACTTAGTGATACATTGTAACTCATCACTTTGTTCATAAACATTTTAATATACACATAAACCTGTTTAAATATGTTACAACAAAATTCGATCCTCAGAATTACAACAACACAAAATACATTCAATTTACAATATAATTACAATTCTTCCAATCCGATAACTCTATACAATTCTCAACCCAAAG